ATAAAATTAAAACAACAACAACAAAGAACAAATTCAGTAGAAACCTTGGCTAACAGATAAGGCAATGTGACTTTGCTTCACATAGCTAACTGAAATCAAATTGTGTTAGGCAGCCTCCCTCAGTGTTTTTGCTGAAACATTGGAATAATGCTTACTAATCATCTTCGGGGGAACTTGGTAAACTATGAGTCAGCAAGTCTCATTGAGTAAGAAAGGCAGGAGGCTTACTTGCATTTAGCAAAGACGACCCTCTCTGGGGTAGAATTTGAAAAGCACCTGAAGAAAGCCGAGTGTGGGAGAAATCTCTCCCCTTCCAGCTGAAATCGCATATCCACACTCATCAGAGAACCTTTGAATGGCAATGGAAGTGTTTCCTTGGGTACAATACCATTCTTTTTTCCCTAATACCTGAGTGTGGATGTCTCAGGGAAGCTGGAAGTCACTGAGGGATAAGCAAGGGAAAGAGCTCAGAAAGATCTGGAGCTTGAGGGACTTGGTGAGAGAACGCAGACTCGGCCCAGATGCAGAGGGAAGCACACTGTAGGAAGGCCCTGGCTGCCAGCTGGAAGAGGCCACCCAAAACGAAAGATCGGGGACAGTAAGTCTGCTTCACACGGTGGCCACAGGCCAACAATGGTACCTGGCGCGTTTATTACCGAGTAAGTTCACTGCCTCATGCCAAGAACCATAACAACACCGAATCGTAGTTTTACATAATCTAAAAAAAAAGAAACCGTTCAAGCACTTTAAGCAAGAGAAGAAAGGGGTATGATTTCTCCCATCCTCACAATGACTGCAAGAGGTCTTTGCTAGAGTTTCATAATAGCCGTATACCCTAAATAGGTGTCAAAGGACAGAAAAAAATGAGCGCAAATCAATTCATGTGACTTTGATTCCCACGTTGATGCCAGCGAAAAAACCAATACATAGCTGCAAAATAACTTTAAAAAAAAAAAATGACATGACTAAGCAAAACTGTTATTAACAAGTCAGTTCTTCTTTTTGGAAAGGACTCGAAACTTGCTAACATAATAGCAGCACTTTTCTCATGCCCATAGCACCGTTTTCACATCCCACATCTTGCCAGTTTGGTATTTCCTTCCCTATTGCTTGAAAGATTGTCAGATATTTTGAAAGGGGAAAAGAATTCAATTAAAATGCATGTAGACTGTTCTTTAAAAATTCTGCTAGGACAAGGAGAATTTAAAATATCAGAAATAATTAAATATGAGGTTATTTTGAGAGGGCAAAGAACTTAGGTTAATGTTTTATATTTGGGGGAAGGGATGTTCCATTTTTATTAAAAGTAAATTTTGTCATTCATTCAATCAAAGTAATTCATGTTATTTCATATTATTCTTGAGTCATCTCAAACATTATATCTACATATAGCTTGTAAGGAGTTCTAAGAAAAAAGAAAAAATTTCTCATAATAATGCACATATCTGTTATTACAGAAGCAACTTTCGAGACCCAATGATTTTCAAATCTTTTTCTTTTTTCATTAGTGGAACTAGTTTCTATAATTGGCTCTCACGTGAAATGTCAACATATAAAACTTACAAAAGCTGCCTTGTTGGGAGAGGGGGCTGAGGACCCCAAAGCAATCCCAATTTAACGTTCATTTCAAATAAACCTTTTTGCTTCGCTACTTATTATCAGAGCCAGCAGAGGACCTGGCCCATAGCAGGGACTTGATAAATATTTGTTGAAGGACTGTATCACGCTGCCTCAGTCAATACCAAATAGAGATCATCCCTTATAATATGTATTAGAAAATTTATAAAAAGAATTAAATAATGTAAAAATAGAAACTATTTTTAGTGTTTTATTTTTAATAATAGTAATTGGCCAGGTAATAGTTGGCCTTAAAATACGTTTTAGCCCTGGCGTCTCAGTTGGTTGGAGAGTTGTCCCATACACCAAAAGGTTGCGGGTTCACTTCCAGTCGGGGTACATACCCAGGTTTCGAGTTTAATCCCCGGTCAAGGTAAGTAGGGGAGGCAACCGATGGATGTTTCTCTCACATCAGTGTTTCTCTCTTTCTCTCTCTCCCTCACCCCTCTCTCTCTCCCCCTTCCTCTCTCTCTAAAATCAGTGACCATATCCTTGGGTGAGGATTATATATATATATGTTTTAATACTTGGCAAAGCAATTTGAATTCATTTTCATTTGAGATGTATATATTTTTTCATTTATTTTTAATTTTTAAAATGTGTTCAATTACAGCTTACATTCAATATTATTTTGTATTAGTTTCAGGTGTACAGCATACAGTTTAGTGGTTAGACAATCATATACTTTACAAATTGTCCCCCCCAATATTTCCAGTACCCACCTGGCACCACACATTGTTATTAGACTATATCCCCTATGCTGTACTTTACATCCCAAGACTGTTTTGTAACTAGCAATCTGTGTGAGAAGTATATTTTGGGTTGAACGGTGTGCATGCCAAAGTGAACTGAGAAGATCACGTAGCTGCTCTCGACTTTGCCCGGACACCTTCCCCCATCTTCCCATGACTGGCTCCTTCTCAGCTTTCACCCTTTAAGCTTCAGCTAAAATGTCACCTTCTTCCAGGCCTCCCCTGATCCTTCCATCTAAAATAGCCCCTTCTCCCTAGTTGGTTATCATATTTCCCTACCCCTTTCCTCCATAGGCTTGATTGCACTCTACAGGTATCTTGTCTATGTATATTTCGCCTGTTGAAGGTGACATGTTCTGCCTCCTTTGGGGCAAGGCCCCAGGGCCAAGCACAGCATCTGTCCTATGTTCAGGGCTCAATGAATATTTTTCAGTGAATGGACGGATAAGTAATCAAATGTGTCTCGTGCCCAGCAACTGTATATAGCTGCCTGTGTTGCTTAGAATAGGAGTTTGAATACAGCTGTGCTTGGAATGGCTGTGGGTGAAGGGGTTCCCCAGCCCTGGGGAGCCAGTCAGGACTTCAGTCAGTTACTATTAGTCCCTTGCTTAACGCCCCAGAACCACTTTCCATCTATGGTACTTCTGTTCATTTTTCTCAGCTCTAAATGACAGCACTAACATTAATTTGATGTCCATTAAGTCCCTTTTCTCCACAAGAAGGGCTCACAGGAGACAAGGGGACTCTTTAGAAGTGCCTCTTTGCGTGTGTTTAGGGAATGAGAGGTAGGGGGTGGGGCAACTCATCTTGAGCCACTGAATATAGTTTCATTAAATGGATTAAGACCCAACTGAGGATATGTAAACTTTAGTTGGAAAGGGTCCACAGGAGGTCTATGTGCATGCAAGGCTCAGAAGCTTCCTAGGAATACTTATTTCAAGGGAATTACTTAGTTACTGGAGAAATAAAGCCAATTTTGAATGTTGCATTGCTGTTTATCACTCAGATTTGAAGAGTTTGCGCCTCATGTCAAAAGCAAGAGCCGGAGAAGTTGTTCTGACAGAAAAGTTTTAATGGGACGCGGTGGGGAAAGGGATGCCCAGCTGTCCTATGCAGTGTGGAGATGGCATGGTGTGACCCTCCCTGTGTGATGACACCACAGGGTCCACCTGCAACTTTCCCCATTACTTGGAAGCTGAGAAGATCTATCTGTGGGATTTGCAAGGGGGCTTAGAACAGTCTACAGTCTCATGTAGAACACAGAGCCTAGGAGACACTGTTTACTACTGTTAATAAATTTCTGCCCTCTTACTGTATTTTCTTTTCCCATACTTCCCCAATAAAATATTTTGCTACTGTTAAAAAGAATGAGGTTACATTAAAAAGAAATTAAAAAAAAAAAAAAAAAAAAAAC